TGGACGTTTTCGATGCTGGTTAATGTGATAACAGAAATTTGCTATACACAGGGTAAAAGGCTGGCCCCTCTGTCCTGGTGTTGCCCGTACCTGAGTTTTAAAGCCTGTGGCTCTTCGGATGGCTTTGGACCAGCCCCGTCCAGCCTAAGCATTGGGCTGAAGCATCACGGCAGGACTAGGTCAGCTGTCCCTACAATGGCCACAGGCCTGTACCAGAATCTCTCCAGTTGGGTGCCTGTCTTAGTCTAAAACTCCCATCAACCCTGGACCTTAGGTCTCTGCTGGCTGGAAAGGTGGAGGGGATGCCCAGTGCATCTGAGCTACAGTGAGTGATCGTAGTTCCTTGGAGTCACACAATGAGGTCCTTCTTATTTCCCTTTCCTTGGAGACACCCAAGGATGACCAGAAGACTTTCTGCGGGCAAAGCATAGGCTGCATTGTGGAGCCAGGTCACTCTCCGTTTCCCCAGAAACTCTTCCTCGAAAGCAAATAGCACAGTTTAGCCTATAACAATTTGAGCTGTGAGTCCAAAATCCTCTTCTCAGATCTCATAATTATGGCCTCTTGGTCATTTGCCTGCCTACTTGGAAGGAAGCCCCAGTGGGTTCACTGGGATTTAAGACCAATGAAAGGGTCCCTTTGTACCAAAAGATTTGACAAAGGAACTATTGGCCTGGGCTGCTTCACTCCCTGACCCAAATTACCAGGAGAAGGGCTGGGAAAGGCTACTGTGTCCTTTCGTATCTCTGATCTCTACTTCTTCTCACCTGGATTTAGGCTTTTCCCTCAATAAAAATTCAGTTACTCTGTTTTATTGTTTTATCAATTGTGAGACACTTTGTGCCCCAAGGGCCTCAAGGTGTCTCACAATTGATAAAACAGTAAAACAAACAGAGTAACTGAATTTTTATTGAGGGAGACCGGTTTAGTTTTTGTCCTACTAGATGAATTTAAAGTAGGCTCATTTTTGCGTATATATATTCCACCTTTGGATCTGCAGTAGAACCAATAGCCCACGTATCTAGGCTGAACAATCTCTGCTAAACACATGTACAGCAGAAAGCAAAAATGAGCCTACTTTAAATCCATCTAGTGGGACAAAAACTAACCCAGTCTTGCTTTTTAAACTGGCTTGGTTTGTCAGATTTAGAGCAAAGGCTCGAATGTTTGTGCAGATACAGTGTGGAGCTGCCACCCTTCCAGTACTGGCTCCCCAGCAGTTAAACTTCAAAAGAAAAGAAAAAAGCTTCCCACTAGAACCAATGGGATATGGGTGAAGTTGTTGACCGGTTCCCCCTTCCCCACACAATGATGTGCTTTGAGCAGAAATGTTGGTTCTGAAGGGAGGAAGGGTGACATCTTGGGATGAGGCCTCACTCCTTTCTCTAAGAGTCACATCATGCTGAGTGGCATATTCTGTGGGCTGCAGTCTGAAAAAGTAACTTTCCATCTCTGCTTTTAATTTGGATCACTTAAAAGTGATCACTTTTGCCAAACTGCATGGGAGTTTTGTTCAAAGGAGCTAAGAAAGGCTTCGCTGGCTGGTTCAGGATAATGTCCGGCTGCCTCTGCATGTCTTCTTCAGCTCCTGCTGCCTTCTTTCTTGGCAAGGTTCCCACCAAAGAGCTAAGCCTGCCACCAAAAACTCCCGCTGTGTTGTGCCATATGCCTCTGCAGCTACACACTTGACCTTCAGGCGTGGGGGTCACCCAAAGAACCAGCTGGCTGCTGGAGATCAATCAGGTAGACCTAGGTTCAAATGCTTCCTCAAACCTTGTAGGCTTACAAAGTCACCCCTTGAACCCACCTCACAGAGTGTCCGTGAGGATGAAACTGATCTCCAGAGCTCCTTGGAGAATGAAAGAAATATCCTGGAAGTCAGTGGAGTGAATCCCATATACAGTACCTGAGGAAACCAACCCAACACCAAATCCGTATAATCACCACCACCACCTCTGAACTGCTGTGTATCTGGGAACTACACAAGAGGAGAAAGCTCAGTGGAAGTGTTATGGAAACAGCTGGAAGAAGACTCCGCTCCTGGTCTAGAACAACCACACAGAAGCTGATACTGCAATTTTCACTGACTCAGATTTCTCTCGAAAATAAATGTCACCACTGTCATGGAAACTCAAGGAAGCTTTTGCTTCAGTTCTTCATGCAAAAGCAGTGCAGAAAAAGCTGTAGAGCAAACAATGTGTAAGTCCTTCCACCTGGTAGGAACATTCAGTAATCTATGTACTTGGAATCAGGATTAGCTCCAAGCATTAGCTGCCAGAGGTTAGAATAAAGGGCTCCCTCTCCTTCCAGGTACAAAAGCATCTGAATCTTCCCTGGCATGACATCTGAGTGCAGTAGGCAGGTTAGGGGATGCAGGGCAGACCTCTTCTCTCCTCCAGTGCCTCCTAGCATCTGCTATCTAATACAGTTATATTTTCAATTGGAAGGACCTATTAGGAAGGACATGAGGCATTCAGAACTCTAATGGGGTGGCCAGATCCAGTATCTCTAGGCTACCACAGCTCCAGTTCTTCCACATTCTGGCTGCCGCAGGAGTTCAACATGGAGCTTTTATGGTTGACTTGTTATTAGATAAAATAGAACTTTAATGGCACACTGGCATTACATCACATATGATGCTGCCTTCACCTCTGTTTTAAGCAGACTTGCTACTGAAAAGGCAAGCACTGGATTGTGCTGTAAATGTTGCAAACCTGTATCTGCTTAGTTTGGAGAAC